ATTCTTATTTACACCAACAAATTTCTGTAAATATATCGATATATTTAGCTTTTATAGCTTGATTTTAACATTTTCCAAGGCTTATTATGTGAGATAAAACTAGCAATAACGGAGCGAATGAAGAACAAAATAGGAACTCAGCTAAAAACTAATCCTGCCTTAGTCGATGGGTTTTATTCAGACACCGGAGGCCATGCAAGTCATGACAAAGCTAGGTTGACAGAAACAGATCTCAGATCATTTTCTCAACTATGAGAAAAACCATGGTAAAAACTTGGTTATTTTGCCCGCACGAAGTGTGAAATATGTATTACAACAATGAAGACCCGGCCCAAACGACAAGGCGTGGAAATAAATCCCCTTAAGTTCGTGCGTTTTGTGTCGAATCATAGGAAGGTTAAGATTACCGTTAAGGCTAAAATCAGATTTGCAGTTTATGTCCGGACAGGGATGAAGGCTAGGGCTTCGGCTACGGCCAGGGTTTAGTGTAGGCTAAATGTCATGATGTGTGCTGGGATTACGTTACGAAGCCAACACATTTAACTTTTCCGAGAAATATTTATAACACTACCTGCATTTCTCATTAAGTTTTCTATAACCCGAATATAACCAATTAAATTGGAAGGTTTAGTATGTAGAACATACAGAATGCAATCAATGTAGTCTGTCAAAAACATCAAAGATTTTGTTTATTGCCGTTCACAAGTTTTTACTATAATGAAATGAAATAAATCATTGCATACTGTATGCATGTTTGATAAACGTTACTTATTATTCCAAATGTCACTTGAAGCGTGTTCTTTTTCTTACAAGCACAAGTTGACGATCTAAATTTAATCGAACACCGCACTTTGTATACGAGATAACAATGGATGGAACCGAAGTACTTTGTTTACTCGCTGAAGCGTATGCGGGTAAAAAATGTGCATTATTATAATTGCATATGTTGACAGTTTTATTTAAATCGACACAGTTTCGTTTTGCTTCATTAATTATGTAGATGTGTGATTTAGCGGAAAATTTGTGTGCGCAACCACATCGTTACGCATATTGCTTCATAATTGGCATAATAAGCAATAAAAATGGGAAATTATACATAAATAAGATAAGCGTAACTAATTGACTTTTAAACTGACTGTTTCGTAACTGTGACCAAAAGATCTTCTTTGCGGGGACAATGACCAAATACGCTTTGCATGGGCTTAATAAACATACTTTCCAGTGTGTGTTGCACCTCAACTGATCACACTGTTGTAAACCATCCTGCTTTACTAGTTTTACCAGATATTTTTGGATTTTAAAGCAAACGTCTTGGACACTTAAACGGTTTGGCATCAAGCAATAGGAACATGAATTACGAACCACGTAAGTTGCGCAATGAGGTCAAATACTGGAAATTGCGTCATGCAGAAGCATCGAATAGATGAAACGCGTGCATACAAGTTTGACGAGTATTCCGGCCTCTAATTTAATTAATTGTGCAAAGCTTAGATAAGTCTAAGCTCCGTTGAGAAAGACGAAACTTGTTGGCGATAATTTCCTCGAAGTGAGTGACCTAAAATTGTTGCATTCAGCATTCGTTACTATATCAGCAGAATGTATATGTTATGAAATCGTGCAAAACCTTGTCCTTAACAGGCTGACGATAAAAAGCCGGAATAACGGGGGTCAGAATTTTCCGCAGTATTCCTTCTTTTTGACATTCGCCTGACGCATTACTATTAGGTTTTCCTTGTTGTGCCAAGTAAGTCCTTACTAAGCAGCTTTAGTGGCCTAACTCGCTAAATATACCTAGTACGGATAGAGCAAAAGATACTTGGTTGGCGTGCTAAGAACATACAGGTTGTGCTGAAATTGGTTACACCGACATCATTTTGTAGGCTGGCACTGTGACTACAGCAATGTACGAACTGCGGAGTGACAACCGTTAGAGCCCACCCCCTAAAAAGTCTCCTAATCGGACGACGGTTAAAGGTGGCCATTGTCTGTTGTAACCACTAGTATGCAGCCTGAGACGACCGCCAAAAAGATGGATCCGTTGTCCCAATACGTGTCAGAGCATGCCACAAATCGTAGGCAACAGAAGGTTATAATCATTTGCCCTTATTCCTTTCACGAATACTTCGTCACAACTTCGTGTTACAGTGTTAACGTTTGCCTTGGCGGCTTGTTTCCTTCTAACGGAACAAGCAATTGCTCTGAATCAGTATGGAACTCGTAGCAATATAATTCAAGTAAACTTCACACTGCCGTCTGGAAGGAGAAACTAGTTGTTAAAAACTCTTATATCAGAAATGCTGCCCATCAGCAAACAGCGTGTAAGGTAACATATATCATATTGTAATTAATAAATTTAAAAGCAAGGACCTACCTCCAGCAATAGAGTCTCCTTTATCCTCGTTGATTTCTCTTGCTTTTACTGAGATTATTTTGTAGACACTAAGGAGATCTGTGCGGACTCTTCTAATTATTACTATATCAGTTTTGTAAAAAAAAGTGAACCATCCAGCTCACCTTTTTACCTCCAGCCTGTCAAGCTGAGGAAATGTCATAAATTCGCTTCGATTTTTGAACTACTGTTCTGGTAAACAAATCATGCAGCCCAGACAGGGGAAAATCAATCACTTAACATGGTTCAACAAAAATTATGCCTCCTACAGTGGACTGTATTACCCGTTTTTTAAACCTTTATAATGTGTTTTTGCATAAAAAGAGCCGAAATCTCCAGCAAAAGAAAACAAATTAAGAACTTAGGCTTTTCTTGCTTTTAAATTAAGCAAATTTTTTTCCCATTAGGCTTTTATGAGTTTTTCGGTGTTTTTCTTAAATTGTAAACAGGTATACTTTTTGCACTAAAACTTGTTTAATTTTATTTTCATACAGTATTTCCTACAAGGAAAACACGATAAAGAACTTTAACAAGTGAACATTTGCAATCTCTAGTTTTAAGAAAACGGAAAATACTTAAACACTTTTCTAAGAAATTTCAGCTTCTGAAACTAGGTATAGTTTTTGGAAACCATACCATCTGGCCATTTTACTCGACCTGTCTGTTTGGGTTCTGCCACAGACAACGCCGCAATCTTCAAACTAATTTAGATAAAAAAGCAAACTTGAGGCACTTTTTTATAAAATCCAAAAGGGCTACCTTGTTCTTTGGGTTTTTATTACATATTTTTAGTGTTATAAGATGTGTTGCCTTAAAAACACACATTAGTTTCCAAGCCATCGAACACTTCTAATTAAGTTGGCGTTAAAGTGAAACGTCAGGCTGTTACATCAAGCTATTAAATATATATAAGGCGTGATTCTCAGATAAAAGGAAAATACTGGCTAAAACAATCGGACCGAACATTTTTTTACAATATTCTTTAATCATAATGCCTCATTTTTACTCCTATTATGAACTGCCTTATTTAACTGATGGTCTCTGAATCATCATTTTGAATCGTGCGGTTTCGTTTTCCTGGACATTTTTGACTATTTGTCACGGCCTTTTATTTAAAGTTGACAAATTTTTAACAAAATTATTAACTCGCTAATCTCCAACCGTGTTGTTTAAAGGTTAAAGTTTTTGCATCAAGATCTTCAGTTTACTAATACAACATCAATGTACATTTTTTAAACAACGCTGTGATCTACAGTAGATTGTAATAAATTACGACGCAGCAAACTAATTCGAGGGTATGCTTCGATTGGATTCAAGCTGGGTAAACCCGTCCTACGATAAGACATCTTGAAGTATTTTGGTGTTGAAAAAATACAGTTCTTTGCCAAAACAGTGCAATGAAGTATATTGGATACCAAAAACCAGGACTAAGCACACACCATGTTAATACTATAAAATTATGCGTTTTTAGAAACGGCGAAAAACGTCCGATCAATACGATTGGCACTTAGCATTATAGAAATATAAATGACTCTTATTAAACTCTAACGAAAGATATGCTCACTTTTGGAATACTAATCTCCACAAAGATTTCGCGGTATATCCGCTGATGCATACGTCGCATAGACGTAATAATGCGTGCTATGCATATCCACTAAATGCCGAGTATTTCTCTATTTACAACTAGGTAAATCCGTCTCCCGATTAGCTCTCTTGGAGCGTTCTGGTTTCATACATGACAATTCGACCATCGCTTTCGATGATGTCCACCGTGTGCCCCACAGTTGCAGCAGCAATGGGAGCAGGGACGGTGACTTACGCTGGGGTTTATAGTGCGGGTAGAGTTGCGTAGCATCTGCCTACACTCTCTCCTCCTCCCTCGCCCGAGCCCGGTGTCAAGACAGAGTCAAGAAGACCGGAGACGAGAGAGGCCGCAGGTGGATGGCTCGGACGGATTCTCACCTTGGCGTTCCACCACACCCCCTGGTCCACACAACAAATAACCAGGATTTCAACCAACACAACAGACATTTGGAGGCTGGCACGGCCGAAGCCGCTCCTAGGCGTGCCCCCAACGCCTGGCTCGGATCCCACACTGTGATGGGAGTGCCATAAAGGCCACATTAAAAGAGGAGCCATTGCAGCCTGACTCTCAGACCGCCTCCGGTCAAGGAGGAGGTGCAAGATACCCCGTCAGTTGGCAACATTCCAAGCCACGGCTTTTAGCGCACCGTGATAGCTTCAAGCGCGTCAGATTGTTTATAGTGAGGAGAAAGTGCGCTGAGTCGTCGATTTTACTCTCCCTTCCCACTTCCATACCCCAGCCGCTGTCCGAGCCGGTCAGCAGACCGGAGTGCGGGATGGGCGCGGTGGCTGTCATGGTCGACTGACCATGACTACGTGCGCCACGGCACGACCTGGCCCCCCATACACACAACACTAGGTTTTCACACAACGGGGGTTGAACGGCGTGTGTCTTACTTGCGTGAGAGTTCCGTGAAAGATGCTGTTTCAGCCCGTTCCCAGCCCACCAGTCCGCCACTCCACACAACACACACACAAAACGCGACGAACTGCGTGAACCGAGAGCGGGCGTCAATCAGCAACCTTCCTATCCACGACGCTTGACGTGTCGGGATAGTCTCGGACTCAAGTCACCCGTGCAGCTGAAGCCGCATGGGGACCGAGTCGAGATGCGGACTTCCCACATGCGTGGGATGTGGCAGTTGGGTGCATGAGGTGTATGAGTGTTGATATCTGGTGGGGTGATGGTGGTGGTGGAGGAGGTAGGGAGTGAGGAAATGTGTGGTGTGGCCGGCGGTTGTCTACCGCAGGTCGTCGTGGATGCGCATGTGGCCGATAGGCCCATGCGATGCCTGAAAGTGCGAGGACAGTGTGGGCAGTTAAGACGAGCTTGGTGGGTATAGGTGGGTGCTCCAGGCACTGGTTCGCCAGTCTCTGTGCGATGGATTCGCAAGTGACCGACCAGGCCGATGCGTGAGGTGAATGTGCGTGGACAGTGTGGGGATGAGAAGTCGGCGGTGTCAGTGTCAGCTGCAAAGGAGGCGGTGGTGGTGGTGGTGGTGGTGGTGGTGGTGGCGGCGGCGCGGACGGATGGAATGAGGGTGGGGGTGTGCACGGTGGATGTGTTGGATGTGGTGGGTGTGTCGGGAGTGCGGTCAAGGCCGCTCTCGTGGATGCGCATATGGCCGAAAAGGCCTATGCGATGCCTGAAGGTGCGAGGGCAGTGTGGGCAGTGGAGGCGAGTGCGGTGGGTGTAGGTTGATGCTTCACGCACTGGTTCGCCAGTCTCTGTGCGATGGATTCGCAAGTGACCGACCAGGCCGATGTGTGAGGTGAAGGTACGGTAGCAGTGAGGGCAGGTGTAGTCCTGATCCTCATCCCTGGAGTCGGGGGAGGTGGTGGTAGTGTCGGTTGCTGTGCGCGGGACAGTCGCCTGAGCGACCGCCGTTGAGGCAGTGGGCGAGGAGGAGGAGGAGGAGGAGGATGATGGAAGTGGTGGGTCAGAAGAATTGTCAGGGTTAGTTGGCGGCGGAGAGGAGGAGGAAGAGGCAGGCGGGGGGGACGGTTGACGCCGTTCGAGAGGCGCAATTTATCCGAAGATGTCCAACAAGTCCGATTCGAGCCCGGAATGTCCGTTGACATCGAGGACACGTTGGAAGCGGTTGTGCGGCGGCGTTGCGTACTGGGCGAAGTTTTGATTTGCGGGCTTCTCGTTTCGCTTTGGCGGCAGCGATGCGGTTAGCTTCGTAGATCGCAGCGCCAGTCTTCACTCTCCTCCTCCATGTCGGTTGATCGAGTGCGAGCTCCTCCCAGTTGGTGGGATTGATTTGTAGGCATTTCAGGGAGGACCTCAGGGTATCCTTGTAACGGTGAATCTGGCCTCCTTGACGGCGAGAACCCGTCGCGACGTCTCCGTAGAAGAGTCGTTTGGGTAGTCGCTCGTCGTCCATGCGCACCAGGTGGCCGCTCCAGCGCAGCTGCATTTGTCTCAGTATGGCGTAGATGCTGAGGATTCCCGTCCGTTACAGTACATCAGAATCGGGGATTCAATCCTGCCACTTTAGCCTCAGGATGCGACGAAGACAACTGAGGTGAAAGTAATTAAGACGACGTGATTGCTTTGCGTACACCGTCCAAATCTCCGATCCATACACTAGTGTCGGCAGGATGACGGCCTTGTACATCTTCAGCTTGGCGCTCAACTGAAGACCGTGGCGATTCCAAACTGTGTTTTGGAGGCGACCGAAGGCTTGACTGGCTTTCGAGATCCTGTTAACGACTTCGTCGTCGATCTTGGTGTTGTGGGAGAGAGTACTGCCCAGGTACGGGAAGTTCTCCACCACCTGCAGTTGGGTTCCATTCACGCTGATTTGCGGCGGCGCGTTGGGGGCTGTGGCTGAGTTGGGTGGTGGTTGGTGCATCACCACCGTCTTCTGCGTGTTAATGACCAGACCGAAATTCTCGCAGGTGGCGGAGAACAGGTCCACGCTCCGTTGCATCTCCTCTTCCGAGGTGGTTTTTAGGGCGCAGTCGTCGGAGAAGGAGTTCGTGAACGGTGGTTGTGGATACGCGTGATTGGTAGTGCATCCGCCTTTGATTCAGCAGGTGACCGTCCGTCCTGTAGGCGATGCGGATCCCGGGACGTTCATCACGGTAGGCGTCCATCAGCATGGCAGAAAGCATAAGACTGAAGAGGGTAGGCGCCAGCACACAGCCCTGCTTCACTCCGTTGGTCACTGCGAATGCCTCTGAGACAGCTCCGTTGTCCGTGACTCGCGCCATCATACCGTCGTGCAGCTGACGCACCATCTGAGTGAATCGCTCCGGACAGCCGAATTTCTGCATGATCTTCCACAGTCCTTTACGATTCACCGTGTCGAAGGCTTTCGTCAGGTCCACGAAGGTAGAGTACAGGTGGGTCCGCATCTCCTGACACTTCTCCTGAAGTTGGCGGGCGGCGAAGATCATATCCGTGGTCCCACGATGACGACGGAAGCCGCATTGGCTTCCCGGCAGAAGACCGTGTTCCAGATGGTTATTGAGGCGGTTGAGGAGGATTCGTGCGAAGATCTTCCCGGCGATGTTCAGCAGGGAGATGCAGCGGTGATTGTCGCAGACTTGGCGATTCCCTTTGCGCTTGTAGAGATGCACGATGGTTGCGTCCTTAAAATCTTGCGGGACTTCACCTTGACGCCACATCTCTTGGAAGAGCGCAGTCAGGCGATCCGTCAGTTGGGGACCTCCGTGCTTGTAGACCTCAGCAGGGATCGCGTTCGATCCGGGTGCTTTCCCGCTGGAGAGCTGCTGCACGGCCCTGATGGTCTCCTGGAGAGATGGCGGAAGGTCGAGGTCCACGTTGGTCTCTACTTGCGGCAAACGCTCGATGGCGGCGTCGGAGATGACGGAGGGGCGGTTGAGGACGCCTCGGAAATGCTCGGCCCATCGCTGCAGGATTTGCGTCTTCTCAGTCAGGAGAGTGTTGCCGTCGGCGCTGAGGAGAGGAGCAGTGCCCTTCGTCGGCGGACCGTAGACAGCTTTGATCGCAGAGAAGAAGTTCTTCCATTCGTTGCGGTCCGCGTACCCTTGGATCTACTGAGCTTTGCGAGCAGTCCAGGCGTCCTGCATCTCGCGCAGTCGCTGCTGGAGGTGGCGGCGACTGCGGTAGAAAGCAGCTTTGTTATCGTCAGTGGTGTGATCTACGTAGGCTTTGTGTAGGTGGTTCTTCTACACTAGCAGATTTCTGATGGCAGGGTCGTTGTCGTCGAACTAATCCTGGTGTCTTGCGGGGAGCGCGACCGAGGACGGCGAGCGCCGTCGACTGGACCGTGTCTCGCAGTTGACACCAGCGGTTCTCCACGGAGGCGTTCTCAGCAGCGGCGGCGTCGTCGGCGGCAGCGATAGGAAGGTTGTCTAGCCTTTGAGCTAGCTCATTGCTGAAATGAAGATGGTGAGCGGGCAAAGACAACAAGGCAACATTCAGCTTACCTGGGGGTCGCTTACCTTGTGGTCTCCTGCGAGGCTGTAGGCGAATACACATCTTCGAGATGACCAGGCGATGGTCCGTCCACCCCTCAGCACCCGCGATCGCCTTCGTCACCAGCAAGTCCTGCCGATCTCGCCTCCGGACGAGGACATAGTCAAGCGGGTGCCACTGGCGCGACCGAGGATGCCTCCAGGTGGCCTTCTCTCGCTCCGGCAGACAGAAGAACGTGTTCGTCAGCATGAGGCGGTGTTCTGCACAGGTGCGGATAAGCAGCAGACCATTTTCGCTGGAGCCGCGGGGACCGTGGGGACCCAGCACTCCTCTCCAGGCACTTTGATCTGTGCCGACGCGGGCGTTGAAGTCACCAAGGACAATCAACTTGTCCGCCTTCGACACAGTCGCCAAGAGGGCGTGCAGGTCCTCGTAGAATTTGTCTCTGACGGCGTCAGGGTTGGTCATCGTCGGAGCGTAGGCGCTGATAATGGTGGCGAATTTGCCTCCCCAGAGAGGCAGGCGGAGGTTCATCGGACGATCGTTGATGCCCTGCGGCAAACAGGGCAGTCGTCCCACGATGTCGTTCCGAATGGCGAAGGCGACACCCGCGTCCCGTCGCTCTGCCCTGGGTCGACCGCTCCAGAAGAAGGTGTAGCCGGCACCCACCTACTCCAGTTGGCCTTGTTCGGAGAAATGGGTCTCGTTGAGTGCGGCGATGTCCAATTTGTAGCGCGCCAGTTCTCGTGCCACTAGCGCCGTCCTCCGTTCCGGTCGGTCGCTCCTCGGATTGTCTAAAAGGGAACGAACATTCCAGGCTGCCAGAGTGAGCGGGCTCACCCTGCCAGTCTGGTGACAACGAGTGGGGCGACGGGAAGGAGGTGGAGAAGAAGGTGACGAAGGAGAAGAATAGGCAGAAGAATAGGCAGGGGAAGAGGAAGAAGAGATAGGATGAGGAGAATGAGTATGGTTATTGTTGTTATTGGTATTGTTGATGTTTCGACTTTGATTGCTTCGACCATGATTAGACATCTGCGGCCCTGGCTAGCCTGGAGACAACGTGGTACCCAGCAATGTTTAGACCACCTTTTCTAGGCTATTCCCCTCGTGGGGGCTGGCAGTGCCATCCCTGAATAGGGCTGCCATGTGCCGTTGTGGCACGGCCGAACTCCACTATGAAACCACGACTTCGGTTTGTAGTGGAGAGCGACTCGAATTCGCCGTAAACCGCGGTCTCCGACGGCGTAGGTGGGCGCGTCAAGGCGATGTCGATGTGGAGATCCATCCCGGCTGTCCAGCGGCGTGCAGAGACGAACCACGTCACGACGGTGCCGACGAAAGGTTCCATCCGACCTTCCATCCAGCGGAATACGCAAACCCTGTGCACACGGCACAGCGCACAGGGCCCCTCACCTGGTTAAGCCCGCCGGTCGTGACGGTTGCCCGGGGTGTGGCCGCTGAGCAGAGTCCAGCTACGTGGAGCCACAGGTGAGAGTTGAGTGCCAGCAAGTGGACGCTAGGCGCAGTCTCACCTGCAAGCAAGTAAGCGACCACCACGACCATTACGTGAACCCACCGCTGACACCCCTACACCCCGGTTTCATACATACATCTGAAAAGACGCACATGTTTGTTACATGGTTTGCAAAAGTTGCGGCTTTTTTACCAGTCTCTGAAAAAAATGTAATGTTAACGTACAATGTTCGAGCAATTAGAATGTTCAAATTTAAAATCCACTTAGGTTACTCCTGCGGCAGTATTGGAGAATGTTTGAGGTTGGTCACATAGTTACTGAAATTTATGCATCACAGTGAAATCGAAATAAAACATAGGAAATAAGCATCGTTTGAACAGTTCGCTGAAAAGAGCTTGAGTTCTGCCGTTAGCAAAAGGTGCTTGATTTGGAAAGTCCAAATTGCGTTCCTTGATTACTGAAAGAAATTTTGATATTTGCAAAGACAAGCTTGGTGTACTTTTGAAAATTATGTATATGTACTTAACGCAGACATTTGCGTTTTTTGAAATTTCCACTTTCTCTCAAAGAATTGCCATTTCAACTCACCAAAAAACTCTTTTACGTTTTTATAGAACTAAAGCTTGTTAGACATGACTGTTGTGTCGCGATGAAGGCATTTATACTGGTTTTGTGGATTACCGGCTTTTTTTAAATCTTGATATACTTCATGCGTAAGACGAACCATTACTTCCATCTACAATAATGCAGCCAGCATATCGTCTTACCCAGTTAAATCATAAGTATAGTTTTAACCAATGATATGCTTTGGCAGATTTTGCATAAAAGCATGAGCGCAGGCATTTGTGCATTACGGGTCTTGTATGTCGTTATTATCGGGCTTGTCACGATATAATTCACGACTAGCAGGTTGTTGTCACTATGGCACAAACCGTTAAGTAGTGTTTCCATTTTGTCAAATACTGATTGCTACGATTGTCTCTAAGAATGGATTTGGCGGGTGATCCAATGTTTTCTAGAGTATTTTAAGCTGCGGGCTAAAAGTTTCTTAGGAATTTGCCGTTATTCCTTTACGGCTATTTCGTCCTTTGTTTGGCCTAGTTTAAAAGGACGGTATAACGCTTACGTTCTATTTGCATGTTACATACCGCATCAGCAGTGTTTGTGTTAAGAAAAACATGTAAAAGGAGAAGTCAAATTAAGCGAATAAGATACACTAGAATCTTCAGCGATCACATAAAAATGGAAGTGATAAAGTGAAATATCTTTATGATATAAAAACAGCTTTTGATAAAATAAGGGCTTTACTTCTGCAGAATGTCTATCATTAGAAGAGAATGTGAGTACTGTAATGGCCACTATTAAACGGACTGTTCCAAATAAAATAAAAACACTTCTTCGTCTAAAGATAAGCTTTTGAACTGCCCTGTATGAGCATGGCAAAATCTTATAAAATAGACAGTGAACAAACAACAGTAAATTATTGCACGCTGAGAGGCTAACTATAAGTATAATTTAAATACGCATAAATGCTAGAGATTCGAGCGTGTCCCTTTTATGTTAAACGACTTTAGCCACTGTCAAAAACGAGAAACGATATAACTTCAGGGTTTTTTCGGGGGCCAATAAAAACTGTTTTTCAGTGTCATAAGTTGAGGTCACCGATATTTTACAGCTGGTCTAAAATTCCTTAACGGATCGATAGGAGGAAAACACTTCTGTGTGTTTTTTGCATAGAAGGCACTTGTGGCTGTGACTTTTGCGAATGCATTTATCTAGACCGCCTGTTCTTGCGAAAATTCTTTATTCCATTCAAAAGACTGGATGTTTTTTAAGAATGAATGTGAAAATTAAAGCCGCTCCTACCAACAGTATCCTAAAAATAAGAACGTGGGGTTTATGTGTCATAATATGCTGCAGGTAACTATTTAATATAATTGCACTAAAATAAACTTCGTCCCTTGTTTGAAGGT